AGCCCCCTAGTGCAGCCTGTGTGCTCCTTGTTTTCCAAGCCAAGGCTAAGCTCGTCCCTCTCTCTGGAAGGATTGAATGAGCCCTTCTCCTTGTCTTCAGCATATTTCAGTATCCTTGATACTGTCTCTTGGGTCTCCGGCTTATCAAACTTAAGATTACCGCCGGATGATTCTGTACTCCTCGCATATATCCAGTTCCTTGAGCGTACCTTCAAATTCATCACATCGATATTCCCAGCAGCTGCGGCCTCTTCGTCCATCTTCCTAAACTACTCTTCCTTGGCATAGTAGCCACCGGGGCCTAGATGATGGTGGTGTTTGTTCCTCTTTGCCAGCTCGGTGTTACGGGCACTGAGCTCCAATGCCTCCGGTGAAGTCTTCTGAGCCACGAGCTCCTCCCATTGACTAGGAGTTATTTTGCCGAACTCGTTGAAGGGAGTTAACCCCTTTTGGATATACTTCGTGTTGAGCTCCGACCTCCAACGTCGGAATGACTCTCCCATCATTCTGAAAGCATTTTTTTACCAGTTCGTGCTTACCCTCCGGAAATCTAAAATTGAGCTTTAGCTGTCTATCTCATAGTGCATTCTTTGTGTTCTCTGGTACCTCTTTACAGTTAGGGATTACTGGGTTCAATTTATCTCTTACTAGGGCTCTAATCGCATTACGGAATCATCCTCTTAATTCCTTTGGCTCAAGGATCTCCCCTGCTGGCCCGACCTCCGTTATCACATAGCATGCCTTATCTGGATATAGATTTCCTTTTCTATCCCCTCGTTTCCTCTTAGGCTTGGTAGTCGTGATTGTGTCTTGAGGTTGTGGAGCAAAGGCATCGTGATCCGTCTCTGTGGTTGTTGCCTTTGCTCTCCTTTCCTCTACTCTATCTTGTCCAGCGAGATGTCGCGGACGTTGACGTCGTCTTTTTCGAGTTTCAGGAGGGACCTGTATATACGACATGTCAAAGTGTTAGCAGAGGTAACACAGCCAAAGCTTTAGCAAAATTTACAAGCTTAGACTTTTTCCCTACCTCCTCGTTCGGGTCAAAATCCTTGTCCAAATCTTCCTCCGTTGACCTCCTTCTGGCTTCACGTGGAAAAGGATCCTCAGGACTTTCATATCCCTCTTCTGAGTCATCATCATCATCATCCTCTTCTTCGCCTTCAGCAGCCTCTCCTGCCCCCCCTTCCTCCTCGTCACACTGCTCCTGAGTAAGCATCACTTCTAGATCCTTTTCTACCTCATTATCAAACTGTTCCTGAGTAAGCTGGTCCTCTAGTGCTTGCTCCTCATATGTTGGCTGCTCATCATGCTCGGGGCATCGGGCTACACTGTCTGGTGTCCGCGACATTATTTCGCGCTTTGTTCTAATAGATGCAAGAAACTGTGCTTTAGGTACGTGAGAAGGTATAAGAAATAAAAATGATCTATAAACCAAAGTAGTCCTATAAAACAACAATATATAAAAAAACGAGTAGTAGCAGTAGTAGAGGCTTCAGAAACATGTCAATCATCATTTGATCATGAACTTGGAGCATCAAGGCATCATAACAGAGAAGAGAGAAGGTAATGTAGGGGCGGCTACTAATGATGCCAAGTTCCTCACAAGTTCTTGATCATCAGCTCATATTCCATATAATGTATGGACTTGGACAATTTCATCATCAGCAAAACAAATGAGAGGAGATGAGAGGGGAGATTTGGCAAAAAAAAGTAGGTGCTGCTTCCAAAACATAGAGGATAGGAAAGGTGGCAATAAATAGAGGAGAGGGGAGATTTGGCAAAAAAAAACAGGTGTTGCTTCCTAGAAAAAGCAACAGCTGCCATACTAACTTTGCTCAATCACACATGAACATCATATGCTTAATATCTTCCGAACCTGATAAGCAGATCGGACAATCAGAAGTAGTAGACAGTAGTAGTAGGGAAGTAGTAGAAGTAGCAAAAAAAGCAATAGTTGCTTAGGAGAGGAGAGGAGTAGAGTGGAGTAGAGGAGAGTAGTAGTAGAAGAGGAGTACAGAGAAGACAGCAAGTACAGAGAAGATTAGTAGCCACCAGTCATAATAGTGTATTTTTAATTTTTACTAAAACTTGAGGATCATCATAATACTGACAAATGACAATGTAAGAAGAATATATATCACTGCAGAGCCATGTGCATATATTAGAACTTTTGTTAGGCAAATTACTGGTAGACAACAGAAAAAGAGCAACCCTACTGAACAAGTTCAAATCAAGTGACCGACCCTACTGAACATAAGTAAAGAGCAAGTAGCACAAGACAACAGAAAAAAAGTGGGAAGAAATCATGTGGTACTGCTGCTTCGACTGCTATTTCACACAGCCAAAGTGGGATACATTTGTTCAAAATGGGATAGACGGGTTGGGTGGGGATCTCCTATTTTTCAATGACATTCACCAAGTTTTAACAATTCCCATATTTGCTTCATTCGGACATAAGAAATGGCTTTATAGGAGTAGGTTTGTTATATTGCACTTTTGCACTGGACAATTAGGTTATGAGATAGGGTACTGAGGGTATGTGTTCTGTTCTTCTCTGTAGTACTGAAATATTCAAATAAAAGAATGGAAGATGCTGCAAGATTTTTCTGAAACTATTGCAAAAATGTGTATGGATAACATAGCTTAGTCTGAGTGATAATTAAGATCTTTGGAACTTTGAGTGGAGCTAAAACTGGTTCAGGTGCTGTAAAATCTTGGGCTGACTGCCTATGTGCACATTGACATGAGTTGCTTCTGTGAATATTCATTCAGTGTACTAACACTTAATTTTGTAGTGTTCTGTCATACTTAACAATTAGCATGCATACTGTTTGTCCAAGTAATGCACATGTAGAACACACTACTAAAGAAACAATGCTTATTTAGCATTCCCACAATGGTATTATAGACTTCTTTTTTGGTTGGTAAGGACTCTTAGGACACACTATATTGGAACTGGAAGCAATAAATTTTCATTTTTCTCATTTCCTTTTCATATTGAACTTTACCTAGCTACCTTAGAGCTCCTGTGTGGCTTAATCTAAGCATAAGCTAAAGTTGTGGACAAACTAATGAACGTAAAAAGATGGCCTCAGCTCATATAGCGGAATAATGTGTAGCCTTAGCCACATGATTTCTTCGCCAGTTCATACACTACCACACCTAGGAGTAAGATATTCCCACAAGGTTTTTGGCCTTATGCTGAAAAGCTTTTTTATTTTTGGGCTATACATCATAAGCACAGAAACTAGCTATTAGCATTATGATATGAGCAACGCAGCACATTGCATCAAATATATAATAAATTCTATTGTTTCTAACTTCACTTTTATATCTCTACAGTCTTGCCCAGTTTGCTCGGCTAGGATTTCGAAGGACTTGTTGGATCATATAACCCTTCAGCATGGCTACCTATTTAAAATATCCTTCTTTACAAACAGGTTTTACTAAACAGGGTTTTGCAAAAGTGTTTGTTGAACTGTAAGTGTCATATATTTCCTTAATGATGTGCACTTGCAGAGACATCACAGAGTACGTAGAGTTACTGGTAGTGGCAACCACAATCTCTCCTATGCAGGGAGAGATCTTCAACTTCAAGAGACCTACTTAAAGGTGCTTCTTGGAAATAGCAGTCGAAGCAGCAGTACCAATGCGTCAAGTACAGTGACTGATTCTTTTGAGCAAGTACATAACATCAGTATGTGATTGGAGGGGAGAGAAAGAAAAGAAAAAAAACAGTCAAGAGAGAGGCGGGGCAATTGGGGCTCAGTAGCGCCCAACAGACAGCAGTAGAGGCTCAATTCAACGGCGACCGCCCAAAAATATAAAAACGGTAATTAAGTGGATTTTAGCTAAAATTACACAGTATATATGCTAGTTGTACCTCTATGACACAAGTCTATACACCCATAGGGTAATTAAGTGGACTTCCCTCTAGTTTATTCTAGCTTCACCACCAATAGCAAGCATTATTAAAACATGTACTACACAGCTGAAGCATGCATCCATTCACAAAAAACCATATATATACTGTGGGAATAGTTAGCTAGCGAGATACGAAGTTCATCTTTACCAAAAGGCTTCATTTTGTACTTCAGCACCAGTGTCAGTATATGTTGTCATCATATCAGACTACAACTATTTGAAGTGATAAAAATCGACACAAAATCTCACAGGAGTGCATAGTGGAGCTGATCATCTTAGCGGCAGAGCTAGTTTTGCACAAGAGAGACCAAAGAGACATACAGTATATAATAAACATCCATCATCTATTTATCATGCTGCATCTAATTAAATCAAACATCACAATGAGGAAACAATGCAAGCAGCAAGCTCGATCGTATCTTGCGCTGACATTTGGCACAGCCACACAGTCACAGGCATGCAGTTTGCAGTAGAAGTATATATAATGTAGCAGTAGTTTAGATTACCTTCTTCTTAGCAGAGGATTAACTGAACATAAGCAAATCAACCATGTTAGTTAAATTGATGCACGGCATTCATGTAATCGTAGTCCTAAAGAAGTCTAGGCACGTCAGGAAGAGGAGAGCATGGTTGTAGGCGTGCACGACCATGACTCGACCGTGGAGTTCGTCAGGTTCACGCCACATTGTTCAGAGCACGCGTAGCGCACGCCGCAGCGAAACGGCGTTGCGATCTTTGCGCAATGTGGCGTGGGGGGTTTGGAGTCTGTAAACCTCGAGTATACCTATAAATATAAGGAACAAAGAGCCAAATAAGCTGCGGTTGCTGGCAGCATTCAATCTTCACAGTTTCCTCTGAGTTCTGCATCTGTTCGCGCACTCACCGTAGTCACCACGTCGCTGGCGTCGCTCACGATCCGATCTCGTTCATCGTTCGAGTTCTAACAATGTGGTATCAGAGCCGAAGGTAGACGAAGGAGGAGGTGTCTGGTGACAGGGAGTCGTCAGAGAGATAGCTGAGTGATCGAGTCTGTCGATCGCGAGCAAGAGGAGACGTGAACCCGAAGAACCGTCGACATGGGCTCGACCGGAGAGAAGGAGAAGGAAACCATGGAACGTGCGTGGAATCAGGCGTCGGGAAACCTCGTTTGGCCGATGTTATCTCGCACCAACTATCAAGAGTGGTCCGCTCATGTCCAATGTAACCTCGAAGCGATGTATCTATGGGACGCGATCGAGAGTGACAAGGTCGAGCGGCGACATGATCGACTTGCGCTCGGCGCCATGATTCGTGGCGTGCCCGGCGAGATGCACTCTATGTTGCTGAACAAGAAATCGGCGAAGGAGGCATGGGAAGCTATGAAATCGATGCATCTGGGGGCAGAAATCGTGAAAGAGGTGAATGCGCAGAAGTTACTTGCGGAATTTGAATCAATCTCGTTCAAGACGGGAGAATCAATTGATGACTTCGCAGTTCGGATCGGCAAGCTGGCTACCGATCTGAAGGGCCTTGGTGATGAAAGCGTGGATGATACAAGAGTGGTGAAGAAGTTCCTGAGAGTTGTTCCCCCACGCTACAATCAAGTAGCGGTCACGATCGAGATGTTCTGCGACTTGAAGACTTTGTCTGTCGAAGAACTCGTCGGTCGGCTCAGGGCGGCTGAAGACCGATTCGAGCCTACGCCAGATCACGTCACCGATAAGGCGAAGCCCTCTCTTCTCCTCACGGAGGAGGAGTGGATGGCGAAAAACAGGAGTCGCATGATTCACACCGACTCGTCCTCATCTGGAGGTAAGGGCAGTGGAAATTATGCGAAGAAGGACAAACAAGGAGTGCACGGCGGCGGCGGGAAGCATGATCGCGAGAGGCGTGACTCAGGTTGTCATCCTTCGACGGGGACACCGCGTCGGAAGGGAAGATGCAAGAAGTGTGGCGTGTTTGGCCACTGGGCAAGGGAGTGCCTGAACAAGAAATCCGGGAAGGAAGACCATGATGATGCTGCTCACCATGTCAGTGGTGACACAGACAAGAACCCAGCACTCCTGGTGGCCCAGGTGTGTGACATCGTGCACACTACAAGGACAGGCGGCCAAGGCCTGTTCCTGAACCAGGAACGTGTGTTCTTGGCCAAGTACGATGAGGGCGCTTGGGTGTTGGACACAGGCGCAACAAATCATATGACAGGTTGCCGATCCTCGTTGGCAGACTTAGATGAATCGATGCGCGGCGCGGTGAAATTTGGCGATGGCTCCACCGTAGAAATCTACGGTGTTGGTGCAGTGACAATGGCCGGCAAGAACAAGGAGCATCGTGTGCTCATTGAGGTGTATTTCATTCCATCACTGAGGTGTAACATTGTGAGCCTCAGACAGTTGGAAGAAGCAGGATGTCGAGTTGAGATTGACAAGGGTGTTCTGGAAGTGTTCTAGAGAGAACAGCAAGGCAGTGCTCGAGGTGTTCTGATCTGAGCAGAAAGAAGGAACCGCCTGTATGTCATGAAGGTCAACCTGACAGCACCGATCTGTTTACTGACCAAGATGGAGGAGGAAGCCTAGCGATGGCATGCTCGCTTTGGCCATTTAAATTTCAGGGCGCTACATGATCTTAGTGCCAAGGAGATGGTGGAGGGGCTACCACTGATCAAGAAGATAGAACAGGTGTGCGATGGCTGCGCACTTGGCAAGCAGCACCGCACTCCTTTTCCTCGAGCTTCGGCATGGCGAGCATCATCAGTACTTGAGCTTGTACACATGGACTTGTGTGGGCAAATAACGCCACCCACACCCGGAGGCAAGTCTTACTTTTTGCTTATTGTAGATGATTTTAGTCGTTACATGTGGCTTGAGGTATTGGCTGCGAAGTCAGAGGCGTTGGAATGCTTCAAGAGATTCAGAGCGGCGGCAGAGCTTGAGTCAGGGCACCGTCTGAAGGCATTCAGAACTGACAGGGGAGACGAGTTCAACTCAGGAGCGTTTGTGGTGTTTTGCAGTGATCATGGGATTAAGCACAACACCACCACACCGTATACTCCTCAACAGAACGGTGTTGTGGAGAGAAGAAATCAGACGGTGGTAGAGATGGCGAGGTGCTTGCTGAAAAGCATGGGCGTGCCGTCCAAGTTCTGGGGTGAAGCTGTCAGAACGGCTGTTTATATTTTGAATCGCTCTCCCACTAAGAGTTTGAATGGCAAGACTCCATATGAAGCATGGTTCGGTCGAAAACCCGGGGTCAAGCATCTGAAGACTTTTGGATGCGTTGCATATGCGAAGACAGTTGGACCCGGGGTGAGCAAGCTAACTGACAGAGCAGTTTCAGGTGTGTTCCTTGGGTACGAACCAGGAACGAAGGGCTATCGCATCTATGATCCGGTGAAGGACAAATTATTGGTGACTCGAGATGTAGTGTTTAACGAGAAGAAGCTGTGGAATTGGGAAGGGAAGGACAACAGGGTGATCGGAGGTGCAACAGCAACAGAAGCGCCTAACATCTTTCAGGTTCAGTGGGACGACACAGTAGCCGGTCCGACAACAGGGCTCGCGGAGCCTAAATTTTCTGAACCTGAACCTGATACCGGTGATCCTGGACCGCCTGCTGTGTCAGCATCAATTCCACAGTATGGGGGTGGATCAAACTCACCTCCACACACTCCCAACTTCAACTCAATCCCAGGAGTGCCGATGACCCAATGGGCAACACCGCCCACCGGGCAGTCTGCAGATTCAGAAGGTGCCCCACTACGTTACCGTATAATCCCAAATTTGCTTGATACTACTGAAGAAGTGCAGGATTTTGAGTATAGTGGTCTTTGTCTTGTTGCGGCTGAGGAACCAAGATCAGTCCAAGAGGCATTAACCGAGCAGTGTTGGAGGTAGGCCATGCAGGCCGAGATGCAAGCCATAGAAGCAAATCGCACCTGGGAAGTCAGTGTGTTGCCACCAAAACACAAGGCCATCGGCCTGAAGTGGGTTTTCAAGGTCAAAAAGGACCCGGAAGGGAATGTGATCAAGCATAAAGCTCGTCTGGTGGCTAAAGGATATGCTCAACAGTTTGGAGTCGATTTCGATGAGGTGTATGCTCCGGTTGCTAGAATTGAAACCGTACGAGTTCTGTTAGCACTTGTAGCACAAGGTGGTTGGGAAGTTCACCATATGGACGTTAAATCTGCATTTTTGAATGGTGATCTGTCTGAGACCGTATACGTGCAACAGCCTCTAGGTTTTGTGGCCGGCAAAGGAGATAAGGTCCTCAGATTGAGAAAGGCTCTTTACGGGTTGAAGCAAGCACCGAGGGCGTGGAATGCAAAACTCGATAAGGAGTTGTTGGCTCTGGGTTTTGTGAGAAGCAAGCTTGATCATGCTGTTTACAGGAGAAGCAGCAAAAGTTCATTCTTACTTGTGGGAGTATATGTCGATGATTTGATCATCTCTGGACCAGATGTGCAAGACATCAAGATGTTTAAGTCTGAGATGAAAAAGAAGTTTAGCATGAGTGATTTGGGGTTCTTGAGCTATTACCTTGGCATAGAGGTCAAGCAAGATGGCAATGGGATTACATTGTGTTAGAGTTCCTATGCTGCAAAGATTCTAGAAGGTGCAAGGATGAGGAACTGTAACTCATGTGAAACACCAATGGAATGTCGACTGAAACTTAGCAAGCTGAAGAGTGGAGATCCAATAAATCCAACAGAGTATAGAAGCATCATAGGGAGCCTCAGGTACATTGTCAACACCAGGCCAGACTTAGCTTTTGTTGTTGGTGTTGTAAGTAGATACATGGAGGCACCCAGGAAAGAACATTGGGCTGCTGTGAAACACATCCTGAGGTACCTGAAGGGTACTATTGGATATGGCTGCAAATATGAGAGAGGTGTTGAACTAAAACCGATCCTAGTTGGCTATAGCGATAGCGACTATGCAGGAGATCCAGAAGACAAAAAGAGCACGACGGGTATTGGCTACTTTCTGGGGAGCAGTTTGGTGACCTGGGCATCACAGAAACAAAGAATTGTTGCTTTGTCTTCGTGTGAAGCTGCGTACGTGGCAGCAGCAGCGGCGGCGTGTCAGGGCATTTGGCTAAACCGACTGATTGCAGACATGTTGGGGACTAAGGAGATGACAGTGAAGCTTCTCATGGATAATATGTCCGCGATCGCGCTCAGCAAGAATCCAGTGCATCACGATCGTAGCAAGCATATTGATACAAGGTATCATTTTCTTCGTGAATGCATAGAAGAAGGCAAGGTGGAAGTTGATCATGTTGGGACTGCAGAACAGCTCGCCGATCTCTTCACCAAATTGCTGGGGCGAGTCAAGTTCGTGGAGTTGAGGAGTGCTTTAGGTGTCATCGAGGTGCATCAAGTTTAGGGGGTGTTTTGTTAGTTAAATTGATGCACGGCATTCATGTAATCGTAGTCCTAAAGGAGTCTAGGCAGGTCAGGAAGAGGAGAGCATGGTTGTAGGTGTGCACGACCATGACTCGACCGTGGAGTTCGTCAGGTTCACGCCACATTGTTCAGAGCACGCGTAGCGCACGCCGCAGCGAAACGGCGTTGCGATCTTTGCGCAATGTGGCATGGGGGTTTGGAGTATGTAAACCTCGAGTATACCTATAAATATAAGGAACAAAGAGCCAAATAAGCTGCGGTTGCTGGCAGCGTTCAATCTTCATAGTTTCCTCTGAGTTCTGCATCTGTTCGCGCACTCACCGTAGTCACCACGTCGCTGGCGTCGCTCACGATCCGATCTCATTCATCGTTCGAGTTCTAACAATGTGGTATCAGAGCCGAAGGTAGACGAAGGAGGAGGTGTCTGGTGACAGGGAGCCGTCGGACAGATAGCCGAGTGATCGAGTCTGTCGATCGCGAGCAGGAGGAGACGTGAACCCGAAGAACCGTCGACATGGGCTCGACCTGAGAGAAGGAGAAGGAAACCATGGAACGTGCGTGGAATTAGGCGTCGGGAAACCTCGTTTGGCCGATGTTATCTCGCACCAACTATCAAGAGTGGTCCGCTCATGTCCAATGTAACCTCAAAGCGATGTATCTGTGGGACGCGATCGAGAGTGACAAGGTCGAGCGGCGACGTGATCGACTTGCGCTCGGCGCCATGATTCGTGGCGTGCCCGGCGAGATGCACTCTATGTTGCTGAACAAGAAATCAGCGAAGGAGGGATGGGAAGCTATTAAATCAATGCATCTGGGGGCAGAACGCGTGAAAGAGGTGAATGCGCAGAAGTTACTTGCGGAATTTGAATCAATCTCGTTCAAGACGGGAGAATCAATTGATGACTTCGCAGTTCGGATCGGCAAGCTGGCTACCGATCTGAAGGGCCTTGGTGATGAAAGTGTGGATGATACAAGAGTGGTGAAGAAGTTCCTGAGAGTTGTTCCCCCACGCTACAATCAAGTAGCGGTCATGATCAAGATGTTCTGCGACTTGAAGACTTTGTCTGTCGAAGAACTCGTCGGTCGGCTCAGGGCGGCTGAAGACCGATTCGAGCCTACGCCAGATCAAGTCACCGATAAGGCGAAGCCCTCTCTTCTCCTCATGGACTCATGATGGCAAAAAACAGGAGTCGCATGATTCATACCGACTCATCCTCATCTGGAGGTAAGGGCAGTGGAAATTATGCAAAGAAGGACAAACAAGGAGTGCACGGCGGCGGCGGGAAGCATGATCGCGAGAGGCGTGACTCAGGTTGTCATCCTTCGATGGGGACACCGCGTCGGAAGGGAAGATGCAAGAAGTGTGGCGTGTTTGGCCACTGGGCAAGGGAGTGCCTGAACAAGAAATCCGGGAAGGAAGACCATGATGATGCCGCTCACCATGTCAGTGGTGACACAGACAAGAACCCGGCGCTCCTGGTGGCCCAGGTGTGCGACATCGTGCACACTACAAGGACAGGTGGCCAAGGCCTGTTCCTGAACCAGGAACGTGTGTTCTCGGCCAAGTATGATGAGGGCGCTTGGGTGTTGGACACAGGCGCAACAAATCATATGACAGGTTGCCGATCCTCGTTGGCAGACTTAGATGAATCGATGCGCGGCGCGATGAAATTTGGCGATGGCTCCACCGTAGAAATCTACGGTGTTGGTGCAGTGACAATGGCCGGCAAGAAGAGCATGGTGGTAGGCGTGCATGACCATGACTCGACCGTGGAGTCCGTCAGGTTCACGCCACATTGTTCAGAGCGCGCATAGCGCACGCCGCAGCGAAACGGCGTTGCGATCTTTGCGCAATGTGGCGTGGGGGGTTTGGAGTCTGTAAACCTCGAGTATACCTATAAATATAAGGAACAAAGAGCCAAATAAGCTGCGGTTGCTGGCAGCGTTCAATCTTCATAGTTTCCTCTGAGTTCTGCATCTGTTCGCGCACTCACCGTAGTCACCACGTCGCTGGCGTCGCTCACGATCCGATCTCGTTCATCGTTCGAGTTCTAACAAACCAGGCAACACATATAAGAAGCTTATAACCAGATCCAAGTTCAAATTGCTTAGGGTTTGGGGTGCTCGGCTCCGCAAAGGAAGGAAGGGAGAGAAGGTAGCAGGCATACATGGTGGGTGATCGTCGCCGGTAAAGAGGTGGCGAAGTGGGGCGGGTTTTGCCTAGCCGTTGGAGGGGGCGCGCGGGTGCGCCGCCGGCCGCCGGTGGAGGTGCACGGAGACCGCCCGTCGGGGGAGGTGCGCGGACGCCACCCGCCATTGGAAACCCTAGTGCGGGGAGGGGGCGCGCGGGTGCGGGGAGGGGGCCGCTGGCCGATCGGAAACCCTAGGTCGGGGAGGAGCAGGCGCGCGGGTGCGGGGAGGGGTCACGGGTGTGGGGAGGGGCGTGTGGGTGCGGGGAGGGGCGAGGGCTGGCGTCGGGACAGGTCCGGGAGGCGGCGTCGGCGGGGCAGCCTGACGGCATCGGAGAAGAAGAGAGGGCCCAACAGGCAACTCCCGTGTGCGGCCTTGAATATATAGTCGGGACGATTTGTAGGGGCGGTTTCTGATCCAACCTGCATTTGTAGGGGCGGTTCCTGATCCAACCGCCCCTACAAATATTTTTTATTTTTTTAAATAATTAATTATGTATTTTTTATATCATAAAAACACAAAGTAATATAAAAACAATTGTGTAAATGCACAAATATAATATTTTGTATTATTCTATATATGAAGAAATATATATATATATATATATAAACAATTGTAGTCAAAACAATATAGAAAACAAAAAAACAAAAATTAAAATTTTGAATTTTAAAACTTCGACTACAATTTTATGACATTAAATGAAATAAAATGAAAATGTTGTAAATATAAAAGTTATATAACTCATCAACATGTGCAACTTTTATTTTGGTCATCTTGTCATGTGACTTTGTTTGAACGATTCAAATTTTGAAATTCAAACAATTTCAACTTGAAACAATATTTTGAAAGAGTAAATGATTTCAGATGAAAAACTCATGAATACCAAAGTTGTAGAACTCATCAATATGTACAACTTGTATTTTGATTATATTTTCATTTGACCAAATTTGAACAGTTGAAATTTTGAATTTCAATAAATGGCAACTTCAAATAAGATTTTGAAACCTTAAATGATTTCAACAATAAAAGTCGTAAACATAAAAGTTGTTGAACTCATCACTGTCTACAACTTTTATTTTGGTCACTTCTTCATGTGACAAAGTATTAGTAAACATTGTTCATAAATTTACATATGACTCATAGTTTCCTAAACTATACGAGAAACATGTTGATTTGTGAACAATGTTTAATATCACTTTGTCAGATGAAGAAATGATCAAAATAAAAGTTGTAGATCTTGATGAGTTATACAACTTTGGTATTCATCACTTTTTCAGCTGAATCATTTAATGGTTGAAAATCTCGTTCGAACTTGTCATTTTTTTAAATTTGAAAATTTCTTCATTTCATAAAGTGTTAAGTGATTTCATAAAGTTTTAGTAGTAATAGAGTGAATGTTCAAATAGAGTCATCTGGATGTTGCAAAGGGTAGTCTCACACACATGCATAAATGTAGTTTCACACACATACAAAAATATATAGTCTTACACACGTACATAAATATATAGTCTCACACACATGCATAAATGAACACTTACAAACACACACTTACACAAACACTCCACGTTCAACAACTAGCTAGCCCGCTGTAACGACTTTCCCCTTGACACCTTTTCGTTCCCATGGCAATATGTCTTTGGGGAGGTTCTTTTCCACAACACTGATCTTCTTAGAAAAGTCTGTGAATAGCGGTATCTCATCGTAGTTATTGTAAGCTTCAACATCGTCCACGCCATCAACTCCAATAATGCGCTGTTTCTCGGAGGCAACCACGTGCTTTGTCTTCTTCTTCGAGGGGAGGTCACTTTGTGGGTCAGACATATAGAAAACTTGTGCGACACGTGAAGCGAGCACACAAGGGTCATCTTGGTAGCCTACATTCTCGAGGTCTAGGACTCTCAATCCGATCTCGTTCAGTTGGTGTTGTTTGATCCAGTGGCATCGAAACAGGGCCACCGTTATATCCTTTCCATAGTCAAGTTCCCATATCTCTTTAATGATGCCAAAGTATTGGATCTTTCACCCTAATCCATCGAGAGTCTCTATTCGAACGCCGTTGTTTTGGTTCACATATTTACTATCCTTTGCGTGGGTATAGTACGTATACCCATTGATGTCATCAGCATTCCAAGATGTCACCTGTCTCGATGGCCCCTCTGCCAACCTACTGATGGTAATAGAGTTTGTGGTTTCTCCAGGCGGTATGTTTTGGTCCTTCAACCATGTAGTTAGTCGTTGCTTGTGTTGTTTCATGACCCAATCATCCGAACGACCATTTCTCTCCGCCATAATGATAGCCAAGTGTTCATCAATGTACGGTTGCATCAGTTGTGTACTCTGCAAGACACTGTAATGCGCCCGACTCACCTCTTTGTAATCATGGTCGATGAACACTTTTCTACCACTGGTGCCCTTCCTAGCCAGCCTACCCTTGTGACGAGAATCGGGTTTACCAATCCCTTTCTGTACTTTTAGGTACTCTTGACAGCACTCGACAACTTCTTCAGTACTGTAACCCTCTATCATGGAGCCCTCTGGGTATGCTCGATTATGCACGTATCGACTTAGAACCGACATGAACCGCTCGTAGGACCACATTTCATGCAAGTAGCAAGGGCCCAGCACCTGTATCTGATGAACCATGTGAATCATGAGATGTGGCATTATATCAAAAAAAGCAGGAGGTAAACACATCTCCAGTTGGTTTTGTGTCTCCACCACAAATTCATGTAGGTCACTCAGCTCTTGCTTGACAATCGTCTTCTGTGAGATCTTCGAAAAGAAGTAGCACATGCGGGTGATGGCCATTTTCAAGAACTTTGGCTTTATAGCCCTTATTGCAATAGGTAGAAACACTATCAGCATCACATGGCAATCGTGAGCCTTGTAGTGTGTTATTGACAAGTCCTTCATCGACACTAGCTTCTTAACATTTGCTAAAAACCCAGTCGGGGCTTTGATCCCTCTCAGGAAAGTGCATATAGCTCTCTTCTTGTCTGGTGTTAGGTTGAAGCACGCCGCGGGCAGAGTGTATTTTCCATTAGCCTCAGGTACCAGGTGAAGCTGTGGCATCACGTTTAGCTGCACCATGTCTTTCCGTGCTTTCAGACCATCCTTTGACTTGCCTATGTCCATCAAGGTAGCAATGAGACTCTCAAAGACATTGTTCTGCACGTGCATAGCATCATTGGCATGGGGGACCTCCAAGTCTGGCCAATAAGGTAGATACTGAAAGAAGATCGATTGTTTCTTGAAAGGTACGCCTTCGACAGGAGGTGTGCTTCTATCTCTGTTCGTCCCATCTAGATTCTTCTTTCCATAGATGATGCGTATGTTTTTCACCATTCTGTACACGTGTTCTCTGTTATGATGTCTCTCCGGAGGGGGTTCAATCTCTAGGTGTTGTCATAAAATCTAAAGAACAATTTGTTGTGGTACTTGTGACTTGTCTTTAAGAAACGTCGGTTTCTTAGGTAAACTATCTTCTTGGACGCATCCAGGTACACCCATATAGTACCATCCAAGCAAACCAAGCATCCCGTCTTTCCTTTGATCTGTCTAGACAAAGCAAACAACGTGGGGTAATCATTGGTAGTAACAAATATTATTGCTCTACATATGAAGTCCTCCTTTCGGAACACATCGTACATCTGCTCCCCATGCCTCCATAGCCTCTCCATTTCTTACATCAAAGGCTCGAGGAACACGTCTATATCAGTGCTTGGTTGTTTAGGGCCAGAAATAACAAGAGTGAGGAGAAGGTACTTTCTCTTCTGACACAACCATGTTGGGATGTTGTACATGGTCAAGATCACTGGCCATGTGCTGTGGTCGCTCATCCTCTCATTGAAGGGATTCATTCCATCGGTGCTCAAGCCAAACCGTATATTTCTTGGGTCATCGCTGAATTCTTTGTGCTTCTCATCAAACCTTTGCCACTGACTACAATCAGCCGGGTGTGCAATCTTATCATCATCCACCTTGCACTCATCATCCCACCATGTCATGAGTGTGGCTTCTTTAGGATTTAGGAAGATACGTCTCAAGCGGTTGGTCACTGGCAGGTACCACATTACCAAGGTAGGAATTCTTCTCTGCTTTGCATCGTTGCCTAATGGAGTGTCCTCTGGGGGCTGAGATTCTTGTACCACCTTTTTTGTACCCTTCTTATTCTTCTTTTTCCTATGAAGGCTTCATCCCCACTGTAAAGGTCATTGTTCTTGTATCGGCTGGTCCCACACCGGGGACATTTATCCAGTGACTTGAACGTTTCACCATGAAAAAGTATACAGTGGTTGGAGCATGCATGGATTTTTTCAACCCCCATTGTCAATGGACTTATGACTTTCTTCGCTTGGTATGTGTTGGTGGGAACTGAGTTTGGTTGTGGCAGCACTCATGACAAGAGATGCAATAGATCATTGAAACTACAGTCTGACCAGCCGTACTTAGCCTTTAGGATGAGCAGCTCAAGCACAAAACGTAGCAATGTCCAATGTGTCGGACAGCCCTTTTCAACACCATACACAGTCTCCTTCGATGCTTTTGTCACCCTTTCCAAATTTTCTAGACCTTTCGGGCTATTTAGTAAAATCTCTGGTTCAAGGGCTCGAATCATGTCGTCTAAATTATCTTCATCCCCGACACGTGCTCCACCATCATTATTGGCACCACCTTTGTCGTTACCATCCCAACCACCAGCATCACCACCTTGTTCATTGCCAACGTCAAAATATATTCGTGCATCAAGCTCTGCTGAATATTGGGACAAGGATTCTATGGTTTCGTCGTCGTATTCGTCCTCATCCTCGTCGTTAACAATAACCGTTTCACCATGATGAATCCACACTGTGTAGTCCTCAACAAATCCTCGCATAATCAAATGTGATCTGATGATAGTCACATCTGTCCATGCCATACGGTTCTTGCAATCTTTACATGGGCAAATAATTGTATCCTTATTTTCTTTCAATGTCGTTGCATGCTTCTTTGCGGCTTCAATAAATTTATCCACCTCTTCACGGAAACATGCCTTGAACCTTAATGAACCATACATCAAGAGTTCCTGTACTCCATCTTTTACAACAACAACAAAACAAACATTAAAGGACTACTTATTCAGATATATATAAAAATGAAACAAATTAATAATTACTTGAGAATAATTGTATATACTTCAGATATATATGAACATAAATCTAATATAATTACATGAAGCATACAAACACACCATGGTAGAGAAAAATTAATTAATGGCCCATTTATCCATAAATAATTAAAATACATATTTATTGATTACAATAAACAATTTCAAAGACAACAATTAGCAACAATTATACTTTACCCAATATCTTTCATACAAACCCTAACCCAATTTTATCAAACATAAATTTACAAAAACGAAATTAATAAAAAAACCAAACCCTAGATCTAGATCCACATACACATGAAACATCCATAAAACTAACTAATTGTTCACTAAAATCAAGAAACATAGACCAAATAAGGGTATGATCTTGTTCCCCTCCCTAATTTACCCTAGTACATTTAAAACTTGGGTCTAATTTGCTTCATAAGTAGCTCAAGCATCATAGAAGAGAGAAAAAAACAAAACTCTAATTACTCACTAACCAACCATTAAAACTTTAAAAAAAGTATGGAATAGCATTTTCTTACCTTCTACAACCTCTCCACCAAAGGATTTGAGATCAAAACCTTCACCCCTTAGTAGAGCAATTTTTGGGAGGTGCCCAAGGCCTCCCCACCTTTCTTTCACGGGTTGAAGTGAGTGACCCGAGGAGGAAGAAGATGTTGCAGCTGTTTTATATGTGGGTCATTTGTAGAGGAGGCTAGTGATTGAGCCGTCCCTACAAATCAGACCCCATTTGTAGGGGTGGCTCGTATTACCAGCCGCCTCTGCTGTTCTATTTGTAGGGACGGCTGGTGTCTGGGCACCCGAGCACGCCACTGTAGGGGCGGCTCCATCACCAGCCGACCCTACAAAAAATTCGAACCGTTGCTAAAAATCGTTTTTTACGTAGTGTAAGATGGTTTAAGATTGAATTTGTTACACTTTGACCTAAGTAGGCCATATGATCAGATTTTGATCTTTTCCCATTTGTGCTGTGAAATCATGAGAGTATATTTAGATTCTGCACTAACCCTATGTAGATTGTCCTTAAACTAGCATACTAGCTGGGTTGATAACCATCTACTATGCCAATTGCCAGATATAACTGTATCCGAGTTTTCATGCTATAGATTATTCATTGTGTTCTTTCGTGAAGCCATCTAAACCTGTACCCGCTGCTGCTAAGTCTTCTGTATTTCTTAATTACTTCTTTATTTCAATTCATGACAGTTTGTTGCTGATAAAGTTGCATATGCACTCACCCAAGGTCTCAAGGTAATTGCTCTCATTGGTGAGACCCTTGAGCAGAGAGAGGCAGGAACGACAATGGATGTTGTTGCTGCACAAACAAAGGCTATTGCTGGAAACTTTTACTTGCTGTTATATTATTTAAGCAGATTATATGGAACAACAATTTGATACTCTGCTTTCCGACCATTTTTATGTTTTTGGCTGATTCCTGCTTCTGTTCAATATAGGTTTTAGGATGCAAATGCTCTTTCATTCTTTTTTTACATTAAATAGTAAAAATCATGGTGGTCGGGTTGATGTCTTTTTTTTGTGAATCAGACACAAAAATAAATCTGAAAGCTATTGCCATTTTAAAAAAGAACTACATTAAACACGATACAAATATTAAAATATTTCAATGTTTTTTTATACCTAAGTAAGCACAAATTTTTAATACTTCAATCCTTTTTAGCTTCATCTGTTCATTCTGGCTGCTGCTTTAAATTTTATGCCTTCATGCAAAAATGAAGGACTTATGAATTTCTCCAATTCACTGTTTACTGCCTCTCCTTTTGTTTCCCAGAAAAAAAAATATCAGATTGGACAAATGTTGTGTTGGCATATGAACCAGTTTGGGCTATTGGTGTGTCTCACAGTATCCTTGATTGACATATTGATATGAATGTTCTTAATTCTGTTTTGTATAACATTTGAGATGTGCATGGTATTGTAGGTTCATGATGGTCTGAGAAAGTGGCTCCACTCCAATGTTAGCCCAGCAGTTGATGAATCGACCAGGATAATTTATGGAGGTAGTACTACTGCCAATATTTTTAATTGTGTTGCATCCCAATTGCTCTACAATATGTTGAAAGTCGTCTTACGACTTGGTTGTGGAGCCGGGAAACTAAGCATAACCTATTTTTCTTTAGAATGTCTCTAATTGTTGCATACACAGTTCACAATTAGCTTATCATTGCTCTGAACTAGGGCTTGCCACTTTGTATTACAACCTCTTGTGTTCTCTCTCCAGGGTCTGTTAATGGAGCTAACTGCAAAGAACTTGCAGCTCAACCAGATGTTGATGGGTTCCTTGTTGGTGGAGCCTCATTGAAGGTATGATCCTTGTGTCATCCTCATGAAAATATATATAATTGAGTCCTTTTCTGGTCCATTAGAAACTACCAGGAGGTACAAACATTTGTAACTTCAATTTTAGTACCTAGTTACTGGAAAATACTAGCACAGGCACCAAAATTTGGTACGACTATTGTAATCACTAATCAGTGGTACCTCTTAGTATGTTTTTTGGACCATAAAGATGCTCTATACAATGATATCCATGTAGTCAACTTAAACAAAACAATGCATGAGCAGAGCTATTCTTGTGGAGTCTGACATCTATTTTTCATTTTTTTTACAGCCTGAGTTCGTGGACATCATCAAGTCTGCCACTGTCAAATCTTCATCTGCCTAGTGTTTTGACTTTGAATGCACCCGGATGCTTGTAGTACAGAATGCTGCAGAACTTTTAAAGTTATTTCCATTTTACCATCTTGTTTTGCTATTCTAGCTCCAGTGCATCGTTTGTGTATCATGCCAAATTGCCAATTCTCATCTGATGCGTATGTGCACAGAGTAATCAGTTACCTGTATCACCTTTATGTACCCTTGGAAGTGCACAATCAAACCGTGCTATTCTAATCTGTTTTACCATGGTTACTTGAATTTATAGAGTGTTTGGTTTGAGGATAAGGTAATGCATCATGAATCAATTTCTCAAATTTGGTGGAATGATTTTATTTATTATACTAGTATTAATTATTAACTTGTGGGGAATGATGTGATGATGCATCAGATATACTGCAAAACAAAGAAAGGTGAGGAGTGAGAAGATGGAACTACTTTATTCCTCAAACCCAGTGGCTTGTTTGCTCCATCACTCTACTTTCTGTTGCTTGCCTAAGCGATTGGTCGTGGTTCCGTATGTTACAATAGTTAGAAAAAAAAGGGCTTGAATTTGAAGCAGCGTACAGTTGTTCGAATATGCAGCCTGCTACACTTTCCATGACGTGTTTTATTTTTGTCCTAACTTTGTACAAAATTATTGTTCGTCCTAAGTTTGTTAAAAAATTTAAGGAAAAAGCGTAACAACATTTCCAGCACCAAAGAAATATACCATGTAAAAGTATGCATACCATGTAATCATGGTAAGTTTAACAAAACTAATTTGGTGACAAAGATGTTGGTTTTTTTTAGAAGTTTAGCTAAATGTAAGAAGTTTGACTATAGACAGAGCACTACCTGATTGGCCATTTGTGTTAATCCTGCCCTATCCCAGTCATATTCTAGGGTGTCTTAGCCGGTGTCGGTGGAAATTTCATGGCCCAATTTCATAGTCGCATCACCTTTCTAGCTTCAATTGGATAGCTGAGCGATATTTGTCAAGCATTTGTCTGCTTGTTAGCTCTGCATAGCTACTCTAGTGACTATACCTGATACGATATCTATATACCTAAAAAGACTTTAAAGTCATCATCTATCCGGTGATACCAACAAATCTTGATCCCTACTCACGTGTCCACGTCCGATACGAATCGTGCTCTACTCGGAGCTCATACGTGCATGTCCTACCGTGTTCCCGTACGAAGACTGGAACCACATTCGCATCCGATACGAAGTCTTCGGAGCTCACGCGTCTGCGCCTGACTACTAAGATTATAAATTCAAAAAATTGTGACCCCGGTGCAACGCACGGGCCTAGTACAATTAATAAATAACAAGCCGTGAATATAGATTAGAAACATGAATAAAGTCAGCACGCAGGCAGTTTCATTCTCATCGGTTGGATCTAAAATAAAGCATTTTGAATTTGGCAATGGCGTACATTTGATGCTTATATATATCTGCATTTATTTACCATCTTATTGATAAACCAATAGGGTTGAGATGATCGGTATCAATCAGGCTGAGGTAAATGCAGACGCCACTCCGGCAAATCTTAAGTAGAGATGACTAGAGACTATGACCGAGCAGTCTTAAACGGAATCTCCATATAGGGAAATAAAGCAAAACTAGTCCATGGTTAGATTTGAACAGAGGATTGTTGCTTCTCAGATGTCACTCCCTACCACTGCACCTTATACATGTTTGTGATAGTTGTGAAGTAGTTTTGTTATTAAATACATCAGATCATTTTAAGCCCAATAAAAAAGCATCCAACCACCACAAGAATAAACATTCTATACTAAAATATACCACAGGAAATTTCAGGAAACATGGAAAAAATGCTAACGGGAAACATCACAAAATACATCATATAGAACATCACATGTATACTACGTGAACATCACAAAAAACATCATAAAACATCGCATGTATTCTACGTGAACATCACATGTATACTGCGTGAATATTATAAAGTACATATAGAACATCACATGTATATATACTACGTGAGCATGACAAAATAAATCATAGAACATTACAAAGTATATCATAGAACATCACATGTATACTACGTGACCATCACAAAATACATCATAGAACATTGCATGTATATTACGTGAACATCACATGTATATTACGTGAACATCACAAAATACATCATTGAACATCACATTTATACTACGTGTACATGACAAAATCAATCATAGAACATCACAAAATATATCATAAAACATCACCAGTATACTACGTAAACATCACGTGTATTTGGAAAATAAAAAGAGTAAAAGATAAAATTATTAAAGTAATTAATTACAGTAAAGTAACAAAAAAATACAAAAAAAAATAAAATAAAGATAAAAAATTTAAAAAGCGAAAAATAGAATAAAAAGCTAGATAATACTGGGAAAAGAAAAAAAAGAATTCAACGAAAGAAAAGAAAAAAAGAAAAGAAAAGAAAAACTCACAAAGGAAATAAAAGAAAAAAAATAAAAAGGAGAATAAAATAACATGAAAATAAAGAAAAATAATTAATTAGAGAAGAAGAAAAATGAATAAAAGAAAGACAAAAAATAAAGAAAATGATTAGAAGAATAAAATAGATTAAAAAGAAAAAGGAAAAGCAAAAAGAAATGAACAAAAAAGTATAAAGAAACAAAAAAAAGAAAATGAAGTACGCAGTACAAGGAAAAAAGGTACAGGAAAATAAAAAACTACATAACTGGAACGTAACTGTCATCAGCATGCGCTCCACGTCCGACAGGCGCTCCGTTCCTGAGCTGCTGCATGGGCCATGCTCCCATAAGCCACTGCTTACCTATTGCATAAACAAATTCAAATGGAAAATGTTTCATTTAGGAAGTTTTAGATCTCATTGAGATCTACAACTTTGCTTTTGATTGTTTTCTCATCCGATGTCATTTGAGAAATTCAAAAAAATATGAATTCCAAAATCATTAATCTTAAAACATAATTACCAGGGCCAAAATGGTTTTGTCGGTGTTTTGTCACCAGATGAGTGAATTTATACGTGTGTCGCGCTGCTCTAGGAAGACGATGGCAGCATCGAAAGACATAAGGAATTATATTGGTTCAGGCCGGAGCCCTGCGTCCAGTCTCAGAGATAGTTCGAGTGCGTGTTCCTCGCTTGAATGCTCTGAAGTTCTTACAATAGGGTATGCAAGAAGGAAGAAAGAGATAGGAGAGTAGAGGGGGACTACCCGAATGAAGTCTTAAGAGTCCGTCCCTTTGAAAGGAAGCCCTGGTTGCACTTATATAGAGTCCGAGGCCAAGTTACATACACTAAGATAGGTTCTCCCGACCGAATAGTCATGAGCCCGAGGGAGGGAAAACTAGCTAACTTGGCTTGCAAGGAAGACCATCTTGTCTTGGCGTCAGTGCACGTCTGAACGTGGTTGTCGTCATGGTCTTGTACCCACGTCGCAGCATGGTGTGGTGTGATGCTACTGTTGTAGGGTAAAAATGACGGACTAGAGGGTGGTAAATAGTCCTTTCTAAAATTAATCATGCTGGCTAACCGAAATAAATGCAGAATTAAAACTATCGGTCTAGCCAAGACTACACCCCTCTATCTAAGTTCTCAAGCACTTTATAAAGATCCTAATTATGCAACAAAGGTACTGAGTGTTGGCATTTTCTAACATCACTCTTTACTAAGTTGTCATCCCTAACAATGATGCCAGAAATGTGTTATTGGTATTTATTGAGAACACTTGTAAATTTATATATATTAAGTATCCGCAAGCACACAGATAATATATCATTGTAGCATTTCACCCGAGAGTATACCAGGTATCGTTATTTATATTTTATTCATAGAGAGGAGCGATGGGGTGGCTAGAGATATTGATAAATATGTATACTTATGATAAGACCATTAACTGTCATGCTATAGTAGGGGTAAGTCAAATGATAAATATAAGGCATAAGTAGTATTCCAGAGATAGAAATAGATACTCATAAATGTAGTAAGGCTAGACAGGAGATTAGTTAAGAGCAAAAGATTTCTAAGTCATTCCTTATTTACTAAGTCTTTTGTACACCTAAGTATATACACTCTCATCTATAGCATAATTAACTCTGTATCTATGCAAAGAAACATTACTAAGGAAGATCAAGAATAGAGATTGACTCCCTTCGCAACTGGGTTCTACTTGTTCTACAAACGGGAAGTGGACTACAAAGGACTCAACGAGAATGTCACACTCGCGATCTACCACATGACCCGGAGTGTAGAGTGCATCTGCAGGTAAACAATATTTAAGCACCACGCTTACATAATGTTGACCACTTAATTCACTCGAGTATTGAGTTAAGCGCTTTGCGAACATATACATAAACTCATCATCAACCATGACTATATCAAGCATATAACTAGAGAAAACTAGGAACATAATAAATAGCAACATAGTATTGAAGTAGCAAAAAGTCATAAATATAGAGGGATACAATGACTTTACCAGCCTTCAGACGGTGAATTCGGAATCCTAAACAATAGTCCAACTCTACTTAAATCTTGCTAGCTAGCCTATATTAGAACTTTAAAGAATTAGAGCTCTATTCTCTTCTCTCTGGAAACCCTAATTTCTGATCTGATCTTGACTTATGATCGAATACTTCAAGGAGGGGGTAGGGGCTGGTATATATAGTCTGGAGCGTCAATTCTGAGCCCTCGGATCAAACCGACTTAAATAAACGGCATAGATGCAATCTAGCAGGCGGTGGAGGAACCAACATCGAAGCGGGGGCTGACACGTGGGCCTAGGGGCCGGCCGGCTAGCAGGTGGGGCCGACCGGCATCCTCTTGTGCCTCGCTTCGGTGGAGTGCCTTCTAGAACATTCTGATGATATTTTCGTTGTGGATAATTGTGATTTAATTTGACGATTTGATCCACCTTGATGGTTTTCTGAATAAACCCTGCTGAAAACACAGATTCACCAAAACTCGTAAAAATTGTCAGTCTAAACCCCTAAGTCTATGTTGGTAATCATTTGCATGCATGATTTCAA